GGGTGTGAAACACATCGAGTTTTTTTTAATTGCAAGATATTTTTCTGTCAAAACTATTCATTATTGGTCGAAACGGCTCTCGTGATCCTATCTCAAATTTTGATCTACTATCTAATTGACGTTTGATTAAAACAAATACAGGGTGGTTTATAGTTCTGAACCACACCCTGTATTTGTTTCGATTAAATGTCAGTAGATAGTAAATCACAAGTCAAGATAGGAAATGAGAGACGTTTCTACCAATAACGAATAGTTTCAACGTTTCAACACAAAACATTCCTAGTATTGAAAAAACTCAATTTTTCTACACCCTATATCTCTGTAATCATTTCCGCTAGGCCCCAAGTGTGATAAATCGATGAAATCTGCTCATCAGAGAGAATCTGAAAATTCAATAAAATACAGGGTGTTCAATTTAAAATGCGAAAGTTGATAATAATTCTGATATAACTGGAAACGTGGCAACATTGGCGATGTAATTTTCAAATTCGCCACGTTTTGAAATCCCACTGTATCTACATAAATTCATAAAAATTCAACAAACAGTTTCCGTGATATTCACCTGTTTCCATACTTTTCCTAGTCCTGTATAATTTGAACCCCATTCTCAACTCTTGTTCTTGACAAAAAATATAACTTTAATTGTAGTAGGTATATAGATCATAGAGAAATATCGATGACCTTCTATGGGTTAAATTATACCCCAAGTACGGTTTATTATGGATCTACACTCTATACAGGGTGTTGGAGTGCAACAGAGCGATATTAACTTTCCCATCTTGATAAGTAAATATAAATTAATCGAATTTGGACCACATCCTTCTCATATCATTTTTTGCCAAAGATGAAAGTAGCTAAAAATTGACTCACAACACAATATTTATTTTTGCTATTCCTCAGGGATTTTCTATATTTTTTGTACAAATTGTGTTGCTCTATGATAATTCATAAGAATTTTTGGGGGAGCTTTATAGTGAAATCAATGTGTAGTGGAGTAATTTCTGTTAACAAGCTTAATCTTCAAAAGACAATATCATATCCTGATGCATTTCAAAGCCCTGTAGTTCCTTGGATATATATATAAGTAGTTGAAAATGGATTCATAGATCTATATAGTGAATTTGAAACTAAACATCCTTGTATACTGGAGGTTCTGACACAACAGCAATTCTTTAGAAGCATTGGTTTCAATTTTTCAGAAATGAGATTTATGAAGAATTTCATCATGAGGATATATTCATTTCATGGTAAAGTATTCTAAAAAAAAAAAACATATAAAGTGTTTGATGATTGAGATGGTTCAATTAAAATTGCCTTAGTACTGGAGAAGAAAATAAGTCAAAAACATATAAAATAGTCATATATTATTCCAAATGCATATAACATGAAAACAAAAAATAATATTGTTTAGAAACAAAAAGAACAAATAAAAACATTTCCATTTAAACCTCTATGATATAGAATATTCCTGAACTCATATATATTTCAACCGCACATAACATGAAAATTAAAATATAGGTATTTCTTTAAAAACAAAATTAACAAATAAAAACATTTCCGTTGAAATCTGTGAGTATTAAGATATAGAATATTCCTGAAAAAAAAAACAATATTAGAATCATTTTGTTCAATCTTTAAGTACAGGGTGACTTTTTTATACTTTCAGTTAATACTGGTCTTACAAAACGTTCAAACTGGCAAATATTATGTACTTTTCATGGGCATTCACAATTCGATACTATGATTATGCAAAAAAGCATCCAAAATACAAACATTTTTCATGAATTGGTATTTTTCAAATGGAACAACTGTATTTTATTATCCTAATCGGTACAGCTCTATCGCCTGATTTAAAATTTACTTCATTGAGGTTATCTTATAAATAGATTTCTTTCTATAAATCTATGGCAGCTGTAGAACGCCAGACGACAATGCTGCGATTTCTGGCGTTCTACAGCTGCCGAAAAAATGTATATTTTTCGAAAACTAACAAAGATGGCCTTAATAAAGTATATATATTTGAAATCAGAAGACAGAGCTCTACTAATTAGAAAAATGAATACCAGTTCATGAAAAAATTTAAGGTTTAAGATGCTTTTTTGCATTTTCTAGTACTGAATTCTGAATGCCAATTAGAAATACTTCAAATTTGTCCATTTAAAAATTTTTTCATGACCAAAATTATTGATGAAAATATAAACTATCACCCTGTACAGCATGTTCTGGATTTGCTTCATATATGAGTGAGTCAGAATAAGACAAACTTCGTAACAGAATCCTTACCTCATTTTGAGGTGAAAAGATCTTTTCAATATCAACTTTGATTTTTTCGTAATTTTGACACCCTATATCTCAAAGAGGATTCATATTAGGACATATTTTGAAAGGAAATTTTCACCTCAAAATGAGTTGAGAAATCCGTACACGAAGTTTGTCGATCTTATTCTGACTCACCCTGGTAGAGTATATTGGAAATATGATTCCTACATATATCATTTTTCTTATTCTGGCGTTCTTTTCTCTGCTTGGCATGCCTCAGCCAGTCTTTAACATGCATTTCAAACTCCTTCTTGGTAAACCAACTGAGGTGATCCATCTTACAGTGGAGTGTAGGCAATAGGACAGGAGAAATTCATACAGTCTACTCCACCAAAACGATACTTTAATGTAATATCAATTCAAAGGGGGGACATGTTTCGAAGCTTCAAAGCTTCATCATCAGCTTTAATAGTTACATAGGAGCACTGAAGAGAAAAAAGGTGAAATGTCAGACTAAATACTTCAACAACGATAGTTATACTAAAAACTCACCTGTTGTGGAGGAAAAAAGTTGTGTTTACATATTAATTATAACCACAAAAGTAGTGAAGAATAAATTACTGTTACATGGAAAAAAGTTTTTTAGGGCCGCAAACTGCGGAACACCTTTGTTAAGGTACGGTGAAGTGAAACATCGTTGTAGTAAGGTTAACAATCCAAAAACTCTAAATTAAGTAATCATCTAAACATGCCGAAGGTTAGATGAGAAATGAGGAGTCAATCTGTCAAATATGAAATTGAATCTCAGAACAATTCAGAATTAAATACAGAACAGAAGAGGAATGGCATTGACACGAAGTGACAGAGAGTGACATGGGACATCAAATAGTGAACAGAAATGTGTAGACAATGAAAAGGCATAGAGATGGGGTAGTGTATTGAGAACCGAGGTGGGCCTAAAGTGAACTTGAATAATAGTGGTGACTGAAGAAGAAAAGAAAATTCATGAGACTTTATATATTGAATCGGGGGAATATTACTAAATTTTAATGTGTCTTGATAAAACTAAGAGAGTTAAAAAGTTTGAAACAGTCAAAGTTAGATTGTTCATTAATACAAGTCATTTCACGATTATTTAGGGCTCTATGGATTTCTAGACTTTCAAGTAGATTGAGTTTTTTGCTTTTATGACAAAAGTGTAAAAATTTTAAATTTGAATTTGGATCGAAAGAGTGTTTTGCATTAACTACGTGATTGGGAAATACAGAATTAGTGTTGATAAACTCTTTTTCAAAATTAATATCAATGGTGCGGACATGTTCTGTGATTCTGGTTCTGAATTTGCGACCCGTCTGTCCAACATAACAAACATTACAATCAGGTTCCGAGCAAGCCAAGAAGTAGACACCAGATTTGTCAAAATCCGGTATCAAGTCCTTGGTATTGACTAGTGAATACCAGGACTTGATACCGGATTTTGACAAATCTGGTGTCTACTTCTTGGCTTGCTCGGAACCTGATTGTAATGTTTGTTATGTTGGACAGACGGGTCGCAAATTCAGAACCAGAATCACAGAACATGTCCGCACCATTGATATTAATTTTGAAAAAGAGTTTATCAACACTAATTCTGTATTTCCCAATCACGTAGTTAATGCAAAACACTCTTTCGATCCAAATTCAAATTTAAAATTTTTACACTTTTGTCATAAAAGCAAAAAACTCAATCTACTTGAAAGTCTAGAAATCCATAGAGCCCTAAATAATCGTGAAATGACTTGTATTAATGAACAATCTAACTTTGACTGTTTCAAACTTTTTAACTCTCTTAGTTTTATCAAGACACATTAAAATTTAGTAATATTCCCCCGATTCAATATATAAAGTCTCATGAATTTTCTTTTCTTCTTCAGTCACCACTATTATTCAAGTTCACTTTAGGCCCACCTCGGTTCTCAATACACTCCCCCATCTCTATGCCTTTTCATTGTCTACACATTTCTGTTCACTATTTGATGTCCCATGTCACTCTCTGTCACTTCGTGTCAATGCCATTCCTCTTCTGTTCTGTATTTAATTCTGAATTGTTCTGAGATTCAATTTCATATTTGACAGATTGACTCCTCATTTCTCATCTAACCTTCGGCATGTTTAGATGATTACTTAATTTAGAGTTTTTGGATTGTTAACCTTACTACAACGATGTTTCACTTCACCGTACCTTAACAAAGGTGTTCCGCAGTTTGCGGCCCTAAAAAACTTTTTTCCATGTAACAGTAATTTATTCTTCACTACTTTTTTGGTTATAATTAATATGTAAACACAACTTTTTTCCTCCACAACAGGTGAGTTTTTAGTATAACTATCGTTGTTGAAGTATTTAGTCTGACATTTCACCTTTTTTCTCTTCAGTGCTCCTATGTAACTATTAAAGCTGATGATGAAGCTTTGAAGCTTCGAAACATGTCCCCCCTTTGAATTGATATTACATTAAAGTATCGTTTTGGTGGAGTAGACTGTATGAATTTCTCCTGTCCTATCCTTCTTGGTAATTTGGAAATGGCTGATTACCGTACCTGAAACAAATTCAGATAACCGAATGGACTCTGCTAGTGATGAAGTAAAAATGTCTTCTAGTGATGAGATAAAAGCCTGTAAGGTTTGTATATTGCTTCTTCAGGTTGTATTCACTTACAGTATGCACATTCGACAATGGCCAAATTTTGCAACTCAAAATTATGTTAAGCTCCCGTCCAACTGCACAATTCAGCCAGTTCATTAGTTAATAACTTTTTGAAGATTCTCTGAGTAAAATCTCTGCCTGTTGTTCCCCCAATTGATTTCATAATATATTTCTGAAAAAATAGTTATTCACCAAAAAATTTCAGATATAGATTAATCATACTCTCACCAATGATTCTTCTTGTTTTTTGGTCATTTGGATGGAACTTTCTAGCCCTTCTAAGTCTTCAATAGTTTTACAAGGTAACTGACTTTTAATATTGTCTAGTTGTTCAGTAGGAAATCTTACTGCTGTGTTTGGTATGCTTTCCTTCAACTCTGTCACTTTGATATTTAGTTCAGTGATCAGCTGAATGATAATATCAAAATTTTTGCAGCAGTTGTGATCAGTGGTTCCTGAAATGAACGATAAATTGCTGAACAATTTGAAGAGTCTGATTAAACCTGCCGCCTATTATACACTCTGTGTCCAAAAGATAATTATGTGTAAAAAAATAGTTATAGTTCTTATTGCAATCAAGAACATTGTGTAACTTTAAAACTATGTACTATTTAAAGAAGTTTATCATCCACCAATAATATGGACAGGACAGTCAATTAACATTGTCATTATACTGTCATGTGAATAGACCTTTAGTAACACAACACATATTTTCTATTAGACCAGGAGTGAACTATACTGATGAGCTTATATATTATATATCATCTATTGAAAATTGAAACTCACTAGCACTTTTAGCAGGCACTTCTGGCGACTCTGCTGATTCCAGAATTGTATTCATTGGAGACTGTCTGTTATTGGAAATATCTAGAATATGGGGATCTGTGTTGACACTACTCATTGTTGTTGAGGATGACTGAGTATCTGCAATAAAAGGATCAGTGTTCATTATAAATATAGTAGTAGTAGTAGTAGTGAATTGATTCTAATATAATTCTCATTTACCTTCCTCAATCATAACAGCCTCAGCAACTCTCATATTCAATTCATCATCAGGTGAGTAGAAGTGACTGTGACTGTGTAAGTGATACCGGGGGAATTGGCAGTGGCAGAGAGGGTATTGGCAGTTGATCTTGTAAAATAAGATGAATAAAATCAATCATTTTGAATTGAATATTCATCAAAATAAGAGGTGATATTATAGTTAAGTTATATTACTCACATTCATCCACATCATTCATTTCGAAAACGTCTGGATTATATTTTCTATTTGGTTTGAGAGCTCTAACATTGTCATCATCACTAGAGCTGATGGCCACGGCTTTCTTTTCAGCTTCCTGGAAGTATGCTGAAAATTTAAGTTTGAATTTCAATCACCATAACGTTTTGCCAGTAGTATCTCATATGAAATTGAGTTTATTGAAGTATGATACAAAGGGAATATAATATACCAACCACAAATACATTCGACCTTGACAGGATATTGCTTCCAGGTATTTTGGTTTGGTATTTTTTGTCTGGCAATATAAATGCCAGTATTGCCTGGAGGCCACCAGCACTGTTTTTGGTCCTCTGACAGCCATGACAGAGGAACTTCACTGACAGATAGATCTTGGTTAGTTGATTCACTGATGAATTGAACTACTGCATACATTCTAAAAAATACTGTTAGTTAACAAATACCTTCCAAATTTATATCAATATTGTAGAATAGTGATGATTAGTTGTTAAAGTGTATTTTGCCATGCAAGAATGCTTTTGAATATTATGATTATTAGCAGATGATTTCACCATGGATGAGTATTATTGGGTTATACCAACTGAATATAATAGTTGCAGTTAGATATCTACAGGGTGTTATTCAAGTATGTGGACAAACTTCAATAGTTGATTTTTCGAGTGATTTCAAGTCAAAATGTCCATGTATACATGGGTCCAAAAATACTCCGTTTTCAAGATATAGGGTGTCAATTTAAAAAAAAACGGAATTTTCGTAAATATCGCTCAAATATCTGATCCAATTTTGTTGAAATATTGCAGCCTTATTTGTAGTAGTGAGGTACTAATTAAAACATTACAGTATTCACCAAAAAAACTATTTTTTTTTAAATCGCACACTGTGTATCTTGAAAATCATGCATTTTTAAAACTATGGTCATATAAACTTTTCATCTTAGAATCACTAAAACAATCGCCCCTTGGAGTTTGGCCACATACTTGAATTTCACCGTGTACAATACAAATCAATAGGAATTAAAATATATTCACCAAATATGTTGATTTATGGAAGAAGTCGGTCATCACAGCTTAATGAAAGAGAAGTTGTAATGTAAACTGTTAAATAGAAGCTGAATGTTGTCTATTGATAAAAAAAAGCCTGTGTAATAACAACATTCATAGTTTTGTCAGATGGTATTTGTAAAAATGTTGTTTTCTTTAATAATCTTCTCACTGGTGATCATGTATCAGTTCAATGCATATTCTAGAATCTGATATTTTCAAGACCATACATTTGCTGAGAGTTTCTTCTGCTTGAATTTCCTCAATTTCAAGACTGTCTTCACAAATTATTTCAATTCCAATGCTTTCAGAATCCAAAGGAACATTGAACATATTTTTTGTCTCATAAATTTCACCAATAATACTAACATCTTTGAAATGCACAACATCGTTTATTCTCATGATTTTTCCAGATTTCAGTTTAATCATATTATTTGGACACTTTTCAGTTATTACAAAATCTTTGAATGGCACCTTCAATTAGATGTTGTTTTTTCCATCGATTTCTCAATATGACTTTCTTCAGTTAATCTGTTATAGATTTGTTCCAGTGGCCTCCTGGTAGTCTTGAGCTTTTTTTTATATCATACATACAATTTTCATATTTGAATGCACTGATATCATCTAGAGAGCCATGCAATTTTCCTTCATCTGCAAGATGTATCAAATTGTGAACATTGTATGACATGTTTTTCTCACCATATATTGTAGAATTATTCTCAACAAAATGTAGCAAAAGTTTCTTCGCATACTGATTTTGCTCCTGTGAGAGGTTTTTTCTGCAAAGAAGTCTAATTGCACATGATAATGTGAGGAAATGTATGTATTTGTCTCGAGATGAAATTTCTGATGAAAAACATGGTCCAGTGTACAAAAGAAATTGCCGCAATTCTGTTGCCTTCCACCTTTCCAATTCATGTAATATTCGGGGACAACGAGCAAATTCCGTGGGTATACAGGACTTCAAAGACGAAAAACTGTGCTCTGAAGATTCCAGTTTGGGCTTGTTTATTCTAACATCAGCTTTTCCTTTTATCCAGAATTGAAGGAGCTTCTTCATCACAATTTGCGTGACCATGCCAATATTCAACTCTGTCAAAATAGACACACCCTTATGATGTTCTGGGAGCTGCAGTCTAAACGATTCATCAGTTGTTAATGCATTATTTGTTTCTGGAAATGTAACATGGTCATCCACATAATCCCCTTCCTGTATACATTTACTACAACCAAAATAACCAGAATGATTCTTAGTATATGTCACAAATGCTTTTGCAGGCGCATCACAAATTATGCAACCCAAGACTATTTCAATAATTGTTTTTTTATACAGGGTGTTTCATAGGTAAAGGGAAATATTTCAATGGTACATAGGGGTCACCAAGGTGGTTCTGGAAATACCATATTTGATAGGTCTTAGAGTCTTCATAACGGATATACAGGGCGATTTATCGATTTCGAATAAATATTCATTCGTCTATATGTATTGACCTACCCAGTATATTTTTCTCAAATTTGGTAAGGAGGTTATACTTGAGACGTTAAATTTATTCACCTATCGGGCGGAGTGAAAATCCAGGTTCGGCTTCAGGAAAAATTTACATTTATTCGAAATATTAAAATAACACACTGTATTCAATAATTAACACATTACATCAAAAGAATCGTGAAGAGGAGGAAAAACTGAATTGTGTATGATGCTTTTTGTTTTCCCGGCACCAATTCTCATCGTAACAATCATAAACAGGAAGTTGAAAATATTTCAATTTGAAGAGTATTGGAATTATGAAACCAGTGTCAATTATGATTATTTGATATTTCAGTCAAAAAATCGCTCGAAAGAACTCACTAAGTCTCACAGTCTTCATAAGTCTTAAACTACCCAGTAACATTTTCTCAAATTTGGTAGGTATGTAGCTTACTTGGGACGATGGATTCATTAACTTATCAGGCGGAATGGAAATATTACCAAATAATTATAATTCGATAATTCACCCTGTATCTCTGTTATAAAGACTATAAGACTTCTCCTGAAGCTGAACCTGTATTGCCATTCTGCCTGATAGGTCAATGAATCCATCGTCCCAAGTAAGCTCAATACCAAATTTGAGAAAATATTACTGCGATGGGTAGTCTAATACTTATATGGACGAGTGAATAATTATTCGAAACCGACAATTCACCCTGTATCTCTGTTATAAAGACTGTGAGGCTGAGTAAGTTCTTTCGAACGATCATTCAACAAGAATATATCAAATAATCATAATTGAAAGTGGTTTCATAATTTCAATACTCTTCAAATTGACATACTTTTAGCTTTCTGTTTATGATTGTTACGATGAGAATTGGTGGCGATAAAACAAAAAGCATCAAATCCAGTTCAGTTTTTCCTCCTCTCCACGATTCCTTCGATGAACTCTGTCAATTATTACATACAGTGTGTTATTTTAATATTTCGAATAAATGTAAATTTTTCCTGAAGCCGAACCTGGATTTTCACTTCGCCCGATAGGTGAATGAAGTCAACGTCTCAAGTATAAGCTCCATACAAAATTTTAGAAAGACATATTGGGTAGTTCAATACTTATAGATGAATGAATAATTATTCGAAATCGATAAATCGCCCTGTATCTCCGTTATGGAGACTCTAGGACCTATCAAATATGGTATTTTCAGAACCACCTTGGTGACCCCTATCTACCATTGAAATATTTCCCTTTACTTATGAAACACCCTGTATATCATGCCCTGTTCAGCCAATTTTTTTGCTTCATCGACAAATTCTCTCAAGAAATTGTTGGCATCCTGAGGTTTTTTATTTGCATGAAATATTCCAATTGTGAATGGCTCAGTATAGAAAGATTCTTTTATTGAACCTAAAATAGTCCAAAATTGGCTACCAGATGATTTGCTCATTGGCAACCCATCTATATTGATGTCATAGGTAACTTTGTGTGGAATATTATTGGGATAATATTTTTTCAAAGATATTTTTATTCCCGCTTCAATGCCTATGTGGCGGTATGATCCAGAATCACATTTTTCAATTGGAATTTTTCTTGGAGTGTGCAATAATGTTCGGGCATCAGATATTTTCAGAGCTGGTAAAGTCTCATTTAGAATTTGTAGGAGATCAGAGACGGCAGAATGGGTGATATTATGGGTCACAGACCAAACTCTTATTTTCTGTAAAAGATCTGAATAATCTTCCTTTTGAGGGACATTATTCACATCAGGGATTTTCCATGAACATTTTGGATCACTCAATTGGGCACACATTGTAGATGTTTCGCATCTGGCACTGATAATTGGGGTTTCAATTTCATCTTCATGATCAAGCCTAGTTTCAAGTGTTTCAGTCGAGGTTTCAATGTCAGCATCATGATCTGCTTCAAATACCAATGCTGGTATTTCCGTTATATCAGGACTTTTATAATCATTATTATGTGAAGTTTTTAGGCCTGAAGTCCTTGCATAGCTCTCATTTGGGTTCTCACATCTAAAACGCTTTGAAAGTTCTTCTTTTTGAATTTTTATCAATCGCCTTTTAGGTCTATCAGATATTTCTCTTAACAGTTTATGTTTTCTTTCCATTTCGGTAATTTTATGGGGCTCAGATGATGTCGAATATACAATTGCTTTCTAAAATAATAATTGCAACTGAAGCTTTCAAAATAATCTGGAATGAATCATGTTATTACTCATGAAAACAATCAAAATGGCAGTCTTTTGATCGTGAAAAATGTTAGGAAATATTGTAAAAATGATATATACTTAATAACTATGGTTTACAAGGATGACTAGGATATTTTTATCTTTTTCAGAATCAAATCTGCAAAATGGTGTATAAAATAAATGTAAACAAGTCCAGTGATAGGAAGGTGAAATTCCACAGTACTTGTTGGATTATTTCGGAAAATAGAGGTCGGTTCACATTTCTATTGTTAAATTCATGTTTCTGAGGTTAAATTTCATATTAGGGCAAATATAAAAATCGAAAAAAGTGAATCGCATGATACAATATTATGAAGTAAACAAAGGTTTACCACGAAATTAAAAAAGGAAATCTATGCGACGCCATTTTGATGTAGTGAAATATAATGACAAGCACATCATCACATCATCTAGATAAGTGAAAAATTGCAATACTCACATTAAGCGAAAGTTCAGAAGTATTTCAAAATAATTGTCTTTAGCATTAACAAAAAAGTCTCATCCACTGTAATCAGCAGTTACTTAAACTAATTAAACAGGTAATGATAATCGCCAAATTCACAAATCACATTCACTTTCGAGTTTCTATTAACGAGGTCTCGATGGGTCGAGGCATCGATGAGGCATGATCATCGGGGAATCGAGGTCTCGATGTCTGCAGGTCGAGCATTTACAGCGTTGCCAATGTGAAAAAAAATATTTTCGTTGGCATCATGCCAAGTACATGATTTTTGAGTCTCGGAATTATTCACTTATTTCATTAAATGAAATCAACTGTGACCTGTTGTAGACATATACATATCGTTAATTGGAGAATCTTTATTCGAATTATGAAAGAAGATAATTATATAAATATACTTCATATTCATTCCAAGGCCAGCGAAATTGAGATTGAATGAATATGTCAGGAATATTCAGGAATGGTTTGAACTCTAATGAATCGATTCCTATATATGAAAACATAATATTTTATCCTCTGGATGGAATCTTATTAACGGATCAATTATGCGCCATCTACGAATCAATAATAAAACTAAACCCATAATAGCCTAATTTCCTACTTTGTCACTGATTTTGATCGAAACAAAATCACATATGATTGCAAACATGATGTACTCATTTAGGCATCTTAATATTTGTCGTTCGAGGATGAAAGTCTGAAAAAGATTGTCAACAATTTTCATTATTACCTCTGACAAAAAACTGATCAAATTCCATTCTAAATTACTGAAATTTTGATTCAAATATATTTATTTATATATCTATGAAGACTCATTTTCATCATGTCATTCATAAACATAAATATATATCATGTTTTCAAAAGTGTCGAAAATTTACCAAGAGCGCCTGATATTTCCTCGCGTCGGCAACACTGCACGAACATCAGGAACGACCAAAAACGACCAAACACGACAATCGAATAAGACAGAACTGACAGAACGTTATGAACCGCACGAGTAGGGAAGCGGCCAATCATAATAAAGCGAAATATTGGCGCTCAATTTAAGCTGACACCTAGGAAATATTTGACATATTCACAGACATGAATACAATATCCGATGAAATTGGTACCAATAGGAAATGGTTCATCCAGAAAATGAATAGTGGAGAGCTTTGATAGTTACTATCGATTCACGATGGTAGATATTGGAGCAGCTGTTTCAAACCATGACCGTTATGTATTTGAAGAATCTGGCTTTGGATCTGCTGTCATGAATGGATTCATGGATATTCCTCCTGAAAGTTTTGCCACATTTTCTTGTTGTAGTTGAAACCTTTCCATTACACAAGAATATAGTGCTTATCTTTCTTGGGCGTGATTGAGGAAAAAGAAAAAAATATTTTCAATTACCGTTTGTCTCGTGCTGGGGAGAACCGTAGAGAACACCTTCGGCATCTTAGAACAAAGATGAAGGATTTTGAGAAAACTAATAGTTGCTCAAATTGAAAATTGTGAAGCCATTGTGAAAGCAAAAATCGTATTGCACAATTTCCTAAAAAAGAAGAAGCTGACATTCCTCATGCTGAAAGGCGCTATTGCCAGACTGGTTTTAATGACTATGTTGATGATGATGGAACATGGAAAAATAAGAAACAAACAAACATGGAATCAGGCGACTAGGAAGCAATAACTCTTTCAAGGAGATGGTTCAGTGGGCTGGAAACTTGATAAAGTGCATGAAGGAGCTATCCTTGGCAGTTGAATCAAATATTCAACCTGAACAATTCCTTCAGATTGAAAATGAATAAAAGAAAGTATTTCATTCATTTTTATCTTGTTAGATTTGAATTTTTATCTGTATTTCTATCTTTAAGTGTGTTATTTGTAGGGAATATTTTTATTTCTTATGTTTTCTTGACTATAAATATACATCTGTATTTGGTCTCAATTGTTTATATGTGTATGTTTCTGTGATGAATAAACTGATTTTGATTTTTGAAGTGAAATTTTTCATTTGCAAAGTATTTAAGTTGGTTTGTGCCTCATATCCCAGATAGCACCAGATATTCATAGAATGTTCTGTCAGTGTTCGATTTGGAAGATATATATCCAGATATTATATAGATGTCCTGGATATATCCAGAATATCTATAGATATTTATATATTATTCCATTTCGAATATTCATCGTAGGTTCAGTTTCGTATATCCACAGATTATTCGATTGAGAATATTCTGAACGCATTGTTCTATGGATAATTCATGATTATTCATTCTGGATCAAAATCATTCCGTATCGAATATTCATTGCATGTCCGGTTTTGAATCTCCAAAAGTTATTATATTGAGAACATTTCAAATCTATCTATGATTTTTTGATTTGGAATCGAAAATAGGTTGGTAATAATTCGTTTTTTTCTTCTGTAGGTTTCGATATATTTACAGATTTGATTGAGATCATTCTATTTCAAATTTCTAATGTCTACTTTCATTTTATTGAAAATATCGCAAAATTAAAGTATTTCTGGAATAATTGAAAAATGTTACAACATGAAGTCATTTTCAACACTTGCACTTGTCGAACTTCCCGTAAATATTAACCTGTCAATCTAACTCGAGGTACCGTGTACCGAGGCTAGGGTAAGGACCAGTAGGACCACACGGACCCTTGGAGAGAGGCTAAATGAAAGAGTCAAGAAGATGGCGGCGATACGACAACATTAGCGTTGAGATGTTTATAACTCACTATGCACACTCAGTCCTGTTTGTAGTTCAAGAAGTTCAAGTAGGTATGAAATTTCAAGCAATAATGATCCTGTTTGTAGTTCAAGAAGTTCAAGTAGGTATGAAATTTCAAGCAATAATGATTGATAATGAAGCAATCTATGTGAGGTTCTGTTATCGTAGTCGTAGGTTAGTATAATCATCTCAATTGCAACAATATTGAAGCTTTCTTTATTGTTATAAGGTATACCTCATTGTGTTGAATTGTAAGCATCTCAGGTGCATCAACAATATAACCGATATCAGCTCTCATTTCAGGAAATTGAGGGTAAGACATTCTAAGCCTCTAATATAGGTATAATCAAATAATGAATGATTTCTGGTGAAAATGGGTGGTGCCGTTGGTGGTGAGTTATTTATGTACAATATAATGAGGATATGGTACCTACCTATTTTTATGCTGTAGGTACGAACATCACACAAAATTAAACATACTGGGACTATATACCAGCAGACCCTGAAAGAAATACCATACAGGAACAGATCCTCTCAAAATCCTCGAATTCCTAATAGAATTGAAGCTTGAGGGGCTGCTATAAACAAGAAGACCTAGAGATAGTAAAAGAGAAGATGAGGCACAATAAATCTAATCAGGTCAATACCAATTAGGTAGGTTCATTTTTATACTAAGCTATTATAGCATACCTACTAACTATAACATCTACATATTATTTTTCCAGTGAAACAATATGGTGATACCTACTCCAATGCATGATGAGAACATGCCTACCTACCTATTTATGGAATAATTCAGAGATTGGCCAACAATTATTTTGAAGGTAAATTCAATAAAGTCATCCCTGAGGGGTATTTCTAAACTATAATATATACAGAGTGTCTACTTAAGATGGCTACATATGGGGCACTTTTTTTATTATCAATTTCACGAAAAAAAGTTATTATTCCTCATAAAAAGTTCTGCATGGCCCAAAACGTACAATGCAAATATCAGATATCTGATTTTTCCAGTCGTATACTAGGTATATGTCTAAAACAATCAATTTTGTTCAAGAATAAAGTACCTTTATTTTGTGACAATTTTGAAAAGTATTATGGAGAGAAGTTTACTGCAATTGGAAACTAGGTTCAAATATCTAATCACATCTACCTATGATGAAAAGCAGGTTTTACTATTTTTTTTTTAATTTCTGATCAATTCACATGGAAAACTTTTTGATCTTATCAATTTTTAGGAAAAAAGTATTTCTTCATGAATAGTTCTGCTAGGCCTAAAACCAAGAATTCAAATTGTTTTTTTTTCAGTCTTCTTGACATGCAGAAAAAAAGGTACTTATTTCCTCTTGAATAGAATAGATGTTTTTTTGACATACCTCATATAAAACTGAAAAAAAACATATCTTATGATCACATTTTTGGTGTCAGCCCATCCAGCATGTTTTATGAAATATAACTCCATATTATAATAAGAGAGTTTCTCTTCATATGTAGCCAACTCAAGTAGACATAGGTACTATATATAATTGTCATAGATAAACTGATATGTACATGAAAAACATTTTTGTTCCAGATTCTGTTCTGAAAATGATGTATCTGTAGAGAAGTGATTAGTCTGGATCTATACATACCTACTTGGTGAAATGAGGATATTAATAATGAAACCTTTACTCAGATGTACTTTCATACAAGTGTCCAGTGTAATAAAATCTCATCAGGTGAGTTATTTGAAGTTGCGAAAATGACTTTCTGAATAAAGGTTTCCTGTTACATTTTTTCACTTTCTTTTCAGGTTATACTGGAAATCATCTGGGATTATAATATGTTTGATAATTTCAGGGATGGCCAGAAAGTCATGATCGAAGAACTGAGGCTATAATCACCATACAAATCATAAATTTGTCAGATATTGTTGTATAGACAGACCTTTGAATAATAAAATATTTCCAGAGCAAGAATATTTTCTGAGTCAAAATTGAAACCTCAAAATATGCTATGGATACCTACAGAATATTCAATGATTACTATTGGATGATTGATTTGGAATAGTCCATAGATAGTAGAAATATTTGATGAAAAGATATTCCAAAGGTATCCCATGAATATTCTGGATTATCCGATGAATATTCTTGTCGGAATATCTATAGAATATTTAAAAAGATTCCCATTTCCATGGTCCATAGAATATTCTAAAAAGAATATAAATATTTAAAGTGGGTCTAGAGAATATTCGAATATCGGAAACGGAATATTCTTAGGATGTCCATAAATTATCTAGTGCTATCTGGGATAGAAAGTCACTAATGAATGAAACAGTATTTTCATAAAATGTAAAAGTTGATTTATTGCAATAATATCATCATTTTGAGTTGACAAAAAATCAAATAGCTGGTGTACACCGAATTTCCAATAATACTGATGATATGACTGTTTACTATGGATGTTAGAATTCAAATTCCATGTGATAATATCCACTCTGAGACCCATTATTTCATCATAGTACGTCATATCACATATCTGAAGTAAGATTTCATTTTTTCATTTCAACCTACTAGCAAATTTATTTTCTACGGCCTCAACGAAAAATTGCTGTTGTTTTACTGTGCTCAGACAAAACTTCTAAATTGGAAAAATCAGGGGTATTGAAACTCAACTGTGGACATTGTCCTACATAATATATTGGTCAGATATGAACATCAGATATATTTTTTGAAAAAGAAAACAAATTCAACATACGCGAACCATATATTAGAAAAAAAAAACATAATTTTGATGATAATTTCGAAAGACACGTAGAAAATAAAGGAATGAAACTCGAATCATTTTGAATCATTAGAAATCAATAATCGCAAAAATTCAAACAATTTACCCAACGATCAACTAGACCTGAATAATTCACCACTGTTGAATTTGTTCTGTTAGTAGGTGATATTTCTAATTTATCATTTCCAACCAACTAATTTTAACTTTTTGCTTTCAGTACACTTCAGCCTTGACACACAATATATCTGGAACAGCAAAAGCTTGCGCACAAACAGTATTAGCTACCTACTGGTACCAGGAAACGAAATCTTTGCTGTGGTGGTGTTCGAATCTGATAGTGCTCATTGGCAGCGCTTGTTACACGTGGGTCAAACAAATCGATATGGAGAGGAGGCATCGTGAGACTGTTGCATACCAAAAAGTGTAATTTGAGGTCAGTTTTCACTAACGGCTTCTACTATCGAAAAAAATGAAAATATATAATAAAGAAGGTCGGAAAAGGCATCCTGAGAGGGCTTCAGCATATTTATATTTTTTTTCTGAATATGTCTCTTGAACAATAAAAATGCAATGATGAGGGAAAAGTAATCTTGATAATATCAAAGATTCATTCCCAACATATTGAATTCAGAACCTTTTTCATGAAGCAAAAAGTATCAAACCACTTAGTTTGGAATATAACAAACTGAAATACATCTTCAGACATGGTTCTACAGAGTTCGTCTGAGGTTTCTTCCAGAAAAAGTTTCGTTCTATTTTTGCTAAAAATGTAGTGTAGAAAAATTGTAATAGGGTAATTATTCAACGCAAAATTTTCCTGATAATCCCAGTTAATCAAATCGATGGAAATTCTTCCTATTATCGAATAATTTCTGATTAGGTGCATGGGAAATATGAGCTAGGCAATTTTTCCTCCAACTCATTTTGTTTATGCAATATTTGGCAGGTTGGCCAGAAAATGATAATATGGAAATTTTAACATTTCGACTTCAAAATGGTACTTCAGTACATTCTTATGTAGGTCCATCCTCCAAACAAAACATTACATTTTTGTTTAATACATATACCATTTTTAGGCTATTTAACGTACATAAGCTAGTCGGCATTGTCATATACTTTAAACAAAAAAATGAACATGAAATAAAACTACAGTATTACCACCCAGATAGCACAAATTCCTTTTGAGGCCCTACTGAGGCGTTCACAATCATGTCCTCAGGACGTCGATAGCGAGCCTGAGGACATTCTCAAGACGTCCTCCTGTTACCATTCTCTACATACTAATAACGTCTCAGAACATCCCTATAAAATCTTTTGAGACAACCTCGGGACATCATGGTAACAACTTGAGGCGGTTTTTGATGATGTTTCAAGGAGGTTCAAGATTTATGGGAGAATATTATTCGTATACAGAATGAGTCACTATAGTGTGTTCTCCTCCGATATTAGCCAAACCGTCAGATATATAAAATGAAAATTCAAGTACAACAGTAATAGGGTTTCATAAGAACAATCACCTAAAGTTGTTTTCATATCTATAGGGTGTTCGAATTCCAAGATATCGGTTGATGATTGTTTTTTTTCAATGGAACACCTTGTATATTATGGCATTTTTGAGTTTTCCCTGAAGAGTTGAATCCATCAATGCATCACACTTGGTGTCTAGTGGGAATTATTACAGAGATATAGGGTGTTGACAATTAAGATTCTTCAAATGTAGGATTTTTTGTGTCGAAACTATTCATTAATAGTCAAAACGGCTCACATGTTCCTGTCATAACTTTTGATTAGCTATCTACTGATATTTATTTGGAACAGATACAATAAGCTGAACAGTATTCTGAATGTTAACTCACCCTCTATTTGTTCCGATTGAATGTCAGTAGATAGTAAATCGAAAGTTTATAAGGATATGTGAGCCGTTTTGACCAATATTGAATAGTTTCCACAAAAAAAAATCCTAAAATTATAAAATCTTGTTTTTGAACACCCTATATCTCTGTAATCATTCCCGCTAGACCCCAAGTGTGATGCATTGACGGAATCAGCTCTTCAGGGAGAACCTAAAAATGCAACAGTATACAGGGTGTCCCATTTGGAAAAAAACAATCATCAGTCAATATATCTTGAAATTCGAACACCCTACAGATATATATGAAAACAATTTAATGTGAAAGTTCTCATGAAACCCTATTACTGTTGTACTTGAATTTTCTCTATTTATCTGATGTTTTGGCTAATATACAAGGATAACACTATTGACTCACCTTGTATTATGCAAATGATAATTTCTTCAAAATAATATGGATCTCATGATATTTGCAAAATTTCCTTCTATTTATAATAGGTTCAAATGAAAAACCAAATGAAAAACTTACATTCTATTATTTATATAACTTATTCTGAAAAATTTCAATTTCTTTTCCAAAGAAATGTATTTCAGCTTCTTGTTGAGCACTACTAGAAGTTATTTCCTATTGATAGTTATATTTCTCCATGTTGTTTTTGATTTCTGAACTCTGGACATTCCTGATGCAGAATAATCAACTGGAAGTTGAAGCCTTCATGCAATATTTTATAGATTCTGAAGAAGCAAAACTATCTTGGAATGAAAATATCATCAGGTTTGTGTTTTGCATAACCTTCTGAAACAAACAATGTATTAATATTTCATGTCCAGTACTTACTATCAATGATATGATTTATGTAGTTATAGGTACCAACCATTATTGAATCTACTGAACGTTCAAGTCTGCATATGTACAATCTTTCATAATTTCCAAAGAAGCCAAAATATCTTGGAATAAAATATCTCTGCTCTGATGATATCATCATTTTGTGTTATCAATAACCTCCTGAAACAAATAATGTACCTATTAATATTTCATGTTCCAGTCCCTACTATATATCAATGATTTGATTCAGGTACCTACCTTTATTGAATATACTGAAAGTGCAAACATGCATATGCAATCTCACATAGATTTCGAAGAAGCCAAAATATCTTGGAATGAAACATCTCTGCTCTGATGACATCATCAATCTTGTGTTCTCAATAACTTCATCTGAAACAAATAATTAACCTATTAACATTTCATGTCCTGTACCTATACTATATCAATGATTTGATTCAGGTACCTACCTTTATTGAATTCATACTGAAAGTTCAAGCTTCCATACAATATTTTATAAAGCTATCTTGGAATAAAACATGTTTGCTATGATGATATCATCAAGTTTGTGTTCTCAATAACCTCCTGAAACAATAAATAATGTATATGAATGTATCAATATTTCATGTCCGGTACTATCAATGATTCTATATAGTATTTACTCACCATTGTTTCTTGCTACCTGAGAGAAATGTCATCAACAGAGATTATCATCCTTTTGTTATTGTTATCTTTTAATTCTGTGCAATAAGTTCTTCTCGCAATCATTTTGTGAAATAGAAATTTGATGGAGGGAGGTATTCAATGAATACTCTAATAATTTTGATATAATCATTGATATATTATGATGTATCTTGAACAAATCATGACTATTATGAGACATAACCTCAATTCTAGTTCTTCTTTTTTTTCCTTTTGTCTTCGATGACACGTTAGTTCATTGAATGTCATCTGAAGACGTCCGTAGGCACGAAATTCTTTACATCCTCAGGCTGTCACTGAAAGAACTCATTTAGGACAATTACAGCGCTAAATTTACGCCTGATGATGTTCTTAGGTTGCAGAAAATAGAACGTCCTCTCCAGGCGTTTGGCGACACATTGAGGATCACCTTAGGCGAGTGTGTGCTATCTGGGCACAGGTGTTACACTCAAAGTCAAGATCACATTATTACAGCATTCGAGAACATTTTGTACACACTGTTGTAAAAAAGAATAACATTAGTGTTTTTTAGTATAGTTCTTATATAATAATAGTATATTAGTAATAGGGTAGCTACACACCAATTTTTTCAATCAAAACATCGAATGTAGATGTTGAAAGAAGGGGTATTTTCCACAAATCATAACTTTTGTGAGAAGTCGGACTTTTTGGAGAAAATAAAAAACACTGGAATATATTGTAGCTGATGGTAATTTGTTTCTTCTCTGTATGTTTATCAACTCTGTTGATAAACAGTTGATCCTATTTATTGAAAGTTTTTTTTCTTTGAATAATACCCTTTCTTCGAACATCCTTGCTCTGCTGTTTTGGGCTGCAATAAAAATAATGAATTGAAAAATAATGTTGGTAAGTACCTACCCTATTACTGAAATAGCACTATTTTCATCCTGTGCATGCAATCATGGTGTAAGTGAACTAAACAGTTGAACTTTTTTTGTGTAAAAATGTTGAAATTTTCATATTTCCTGGTCAATTGCCGAAATTTGCATGAACAATAAAGCTGGAAGAAGAAGTGAAGTTCAAAATATTTATTTGTTCTCTGATTAACTCCTGGGGGTTTTCCTCATTATCAATATCCTGATCGTAAATGTTTGCTTCAAAGCTCTCCAAAGGAAGAAATCATGTGAATTGAGGACCGGAGTGCGGGCTGGCCATGGAATCGTTCCATTTCTTTCGAACCATGTAGGATATCGATCACTAAGAAACTTTACGACAGCACTTGTGTTATGCGGAGGAGCTCCATCTTGCTGCCAGATTAGATTTATTCTCTGGATAATGGGTAGATTATCGATAAAATTTTTAATTTCGCCTTGCAGCAGTAGTAAATAAGTTTGTCCTGTTAGGGTACCCTCGATGAAAACAGGACCAATTACTTCATTCCGTAAAATGCCACACCATAAAAATTGATATAAGAAGGCCGATTTCAGTGCCTCAGGAATGATTGTTATTACATACTCAATGCTTTGCAGTTATTTTCATGAGGACATACAGTTTTTGCAAAAGAAAATGTGTAGCCGTTCAAAAATGCCCAATTTCGAAGAACATGATGTAACTCCAAAACGAAGTCAGATATCGATATGCGGTTTTCACCATTGAGTTTTGCATGAGAATCGACCTTCAGGCACCAACAACATTTTTCTTCTATCTAGTTGGAGAATAGGACTACCCCTTAAAAAGTAACCAATTTGGCCCACCCTGTACAGTACATAAAATGCAAGGTAGTACTGTCGACTACGCCATTATTTACTCAGGCTCAAAGCTCTTCGCTGCTGGTCAAGCATACGTGGTTTTAAGTAGGGTTAAATCATCAGGTCTCCTTATTGAAGAGCTGGACTGTTCGAAATTACCCGGCAAACGATCTTGCAACAATGATGCGTTGAATGAAATGAACAGACTGAGAAACCTTGCCTGCGATAACTGAAAATTAAAAAATGAATCAAAAGTAAAAAAAAATTGATAAAATGCTCTTATTCAAACGCTCTATGAAGAATAAAATGTTTCTTTATAATTTAAACTATCAACTTATAACCTC